CTTTTTCGTTTCTTTTTTAAAACGTAAAACAGATGTTAATCTTAAGTTCGTGAGAGCTTAGATTACATGTGCAGAAGTTGGTGGATTATTTGGATTAGTAATCAATATGGATCGGTTAGTTTCACAGTTAATATAATCACAAAAATAAGTAGAGATAGAGGGAGAGAGACACGCAAACTTTAATGAGGTTCGAAGGTGGGTTAATCCTTCTACAGTTCTACGTCCTCAGAATCCACTAGGTAATTGGTTGTTGATAATGAACCAATAATTATAGCTCTTTGGAAGAAGGAGAAGTTTGCTTCTGAATAAAGAGTTTTTGAATTCTCTCTTTATCAAGCTTTTGAGGATTTTTCACTCTTGGTTAACTTTGATTTATATATGGTAGGTTGTGTTCTTCTTCAATCTTCCGTAGGAGCTATATATAGGTAGCTGGATGGTTTAATGTATCCGTTGAAGAGAATAGATTAACCTAACGTTTGCTGGCTACAATTTGAATGAAGGTCCGTGAGGATTGTCCTTGGAAATTTTCTCTTGGACATAAGCTTTTGTTGAAGATTGATTCCTTTTTCATGGAATTTGTCTTCTAGCTTTTGTTCGAGAATTCTTGATTGTAGCTCTTCAATTGGGGAGTCCACACTTTGTCTTCTTTTCATTTGTTCTCGAATTAATTTGAATTATCCCCAGTCTAGCCGTTTGAAAATCAAAGAGTTGATTTTCCTTGGTAATTTGAATTATCCCCAATCATGACTTAGATAAATTCTCTAAGTCTTTTTTCTCACTTGATTGTTTGAGAGTTCCGGTCCTTTGAGAAATCCGGCTCTTGGTTCTGATAGTTCCGAATAAGTCATGCTGAGACTTCCGGGTGAGAAAGTGTCTGACAGAGAGATCCGCGCTAGTCTTTCGATACATAGATATCAGGATTGCTAGCCTTCACACGGATGGTTGCGAGACTTCTGGGTAGAACTTGAGTCTTCCGGATTTTAGAATTCCGAAGTAATTGACTCCACTGAGAATTCCTTTCTTGTCTTTGATATCTCCGAGCGAGAGTTCCGATTTCCACATTTTTGATTTTGATAAGTCTTCAAAACATGGATGCTCAAATCTCAAGACGAAATATCACAAGTTTTATTTGAAAACTCAAGAACTTTGTTTTAACAATATTTCTAATGAAAAGAAAATTACACCCTGCGAAGACTATTGATCACCTAGAAGAATCACCTACATATGTTTTTGCTCCTTAATGTAGTGATATGCGTCCCAGAAGGGGCGACCTGGCTTCGGGTTGAGCAATATGGGATTATATGTTAGTGTCATCTATTTTTTTAGTCGATTTAATGAATACCTTTTGGACTCTAGGTGGAGTTTCATCAGTTTCTGTTTTAGCTTGAGGTATTCATCTCTAGGTGTGGGGTAATTTTTTTGGTGTGTCGGGACACATAGAACTCAAGTAAAATAATCTGGTTTCTGTTTCTATTTCTATTTTGGTAACATCCGTGTTTTGTGTTGGACTTCTTGTAACACCCTAATCCGTCCAGGTCTGCAGCCCCTTTCGGACTAAAGTATTGATTTGGTAATCGTGATAATTTAAAACATTTCAAACATTTTTATTTATAAATAATATTCCATACATAATTGTAGAAAATACGGAGTGTTTAATAATAATGCGGAAGCGACTTTTAAACATGTCTCATAACAACATAATTATTTATTTTGTTCAATGATCCACCACAACTGTCTCGCCCCTTCTGCTGCCAGGAATCAGCCAATCATTCATTCTACCTACCTGCGTGTAGCAAATAAAACACACTACACGCTCAGCGGTGAAGCTGAGTAAGCATATCTAAAGCGTCGAACATTCAAATAAATTGAATCTCAATTCATAATCAACCATTTGATATCATGCACCCAATATATAATTCAAACGTTCATGATATTCTCACTATTTTATTCCAAGTCATTTGATATTCAATATCTCAACCATGCTCTTAAATTATTCTTAATCTAAGGCCAAATCATTTTATAACAAGCTCTTAGCTATTCCTAGTCTAAGGCAACATTTCTAACCAAGCCCTTAAACTATAAATAGTTTAATGCAGAACACAAGAATCGATAATCCACCCTATGGGTCATGTGGATTGAGTACCAACCGAACAATGATTTGTCGGGTGGGTGATATCCGGTCTGGATCCCGTACG